GCACAAGAAGAATATAGGAGGATGAAATTGGAACATGATAATGCTACGGTAAGGGAGCACTTCCTTTGATTTTCTTTTTTTTTGAAGGGAGACAAACTTCAATGTGCAACTCATTTCTTGATATTTACCATATTTTCTGTTTTGGCAGCTGGAATACGAAAGGGCTTCTCTTCTCAATCCTGATATCCAGATAGGTTAAGAAGATGAGATAAAAGTATTTCCCTGAAATATTTGGAGCTACAATGGCATTATTGATCGGTAACCCAGGCAAACAATCCCCCTCCAAAAAACATCATGCTATCGATTACATCGCTATGTGTGCTTCTTTTGCAAATCGATTTGTACATTAGTAGAGATCTTGTAAATTGGTAGATTGAGTTATCATCTAGCTTCGACCCTCCAAATGTTTTAGAAAAGCGTGGGTTGTTTGTCACTTGCAGTAACCTGTTTAGAGGAGTAAAACTGACATGTCGCTTCTATGGCTGGGGAAGAGGTTAAGCTTGCTCGGTCTTGCCTGACTAAGATGATGTTCAATATGCAGTATTGATTCTCATGATATGATGATTTGACATTTCTATTATCAAATGGGGCATGGGCCTCATAGTCAAGTTCACGTGAGCATGATAAACACCTCAATGCTAGTCTTGAATATTGATTTTGGATGAAATGGCACAAATAAATAATTTTGATTCTTTGATTTGCTTTCATTTTTGAAATTTAATGCTTGAAACTTATGGAGAAATACTTGGAAGTCACTCGGAAGTCCAACAAACTCAAGAACAACAGTATAATTATAATGGTCTTGGATTTGTTTTCTCATGCCACGTCACTCGATGTGTGGCATGAACATCAAAGGATTCCCAACAAGTATCAGAAAAGCAAAGTAATGTTCACCTAGTGGTTACAAGCGCAGCCAACGATGGGCACATAGCATCCATCCTGCCGAAGATAAGGGATTGGCAGGAGGAATACTCAAATCTCTTACTTTAGAATATAGTCCGAGTGAAGAAATATTTTCCCTGATGTGAAGGAAGCTAATGGATGATTAGTTAACATTCCTCCACTATAAGTAGTTATTCATATTGGCAATTTATAGAAGGCATTAGGAGCCCGTTTGGACATAAGAAATTTTTTATTTTTTTTTTCAAATTTTTTTTATTTTTTTTATCATAAATTTTCAAATTTCACTTGAAGACACATTTTAGAATTTTTCAAAAATTTGAAAAACTCCAAAAAAATATTTTTCGAACTTTTCACTCAGATTACTTACAAAACTTCAAAAATAGCTCAAAATTATATTAATGTCCAAACAAAACTCTCATTTTCAATTTTTTTTTTACTTGAAAATTCTTTTCACTTTCTTTTGGAATTTTACAATTCTTATGTCCAAACGCCCACTAGATATTAGCAAGCCTGCATGCGTTGAAGTTCTATAAATAACCTAATTTTTATAGAAGGCATTAGGAGCACTAGATTAGGCTAGCCATCTCTTGCATTTGAAGGAAATTAAGAACCTAAACTGTATAAATAATAAAACTAAAATATTTACCCCTCAAGAGGTGTTGACAACGCCCGACTTTACCCAAGAAACGAGCCAAAAATGGCAGGGCAGGATGAGAGGATTACCTGCTTTAGTTATTGTGCTTTCCTCATACATAGTTTCTACCAGTCACTCTTGGAACACACAGTTCTGTATATCTTTTTTTCCCTTCTGCTAAGGGCATTATATACAGAGAGATAAGATCTACAAAGACACGGAAAGAGTGAAGATAACCTATAACTAGAAAGAAGATACTAAAAAACTAGTCTTTCTATCCAGTACAACCCGACATACGTCCTCTGTCACAAGTCCAACATATACCTTCTTGATTGGGAAAAATTCTCTTTGTTCTTGCCCCCCCTTCCCCACCAATGGGTTGGAATCACAAAGATGAAATTTGCCAAGAAGTACTTTGTGGTAAACTCTCCTACTTGATGTATTGCGACATCCACTTGAAGCCCTCACCATATCCCATCTTGCGCACAATGCTGCACATAAACACCTCAATTGGACGGACATTTGTACCAGCGAGGTTGACGTTACCCTTGCCAGTGGTCACACCAGTTAGGCCCAAGTGATAACGCAGCTCGTCTTCTGAAGCAGCATATGGTATATCAATCTTGTTTCCCAGAATGAGAAATGGGACATTTGCCAATGTCTCATCTGAGAGAAGCCCATCTAATTCCTTCTTTGACTCGGGAAACCTCTCTCGGTCATAAGCATCAACAAGGTAAACAACAGCATCCACCTACAAATGGAAAAACGTGCTTGTCAAGCAGTAGTAGAGTATGGAAAGCCTAGATTCGGAAACTATTACAACAGACTTGCAAATATCCATGTCAATACTGACCTAAAAACCTTGAAGCTAATGGTGCACAGACTTGACCTTTATTAAAGCCAAAATGTCACATATAACTTGACTGATCCACCATAATCCCAAAATGATTGATGTCATAAGCAACTAGAGAACAACACAAAATTTTCCATAGCTTGCCATATATTTAAAACACGAGAGTAACTATATACACATTCAACACGATGGTCAACATAAACTTGAATATGAGAGCATTAGTTGTTGAGGAATCTTTAAATCCTCAACAACATAATGTTCCATAGAACTGCATTGTAAAAATCTCAATTTTACATATGACTTGACAGTGCAAGTTCTTAAAAATTCTCCACTACACAAAAGAATCTAGCCTAAACCCAAATCTTTCATGTTCCTGATGACTTCTATCTTCAAAGGTCACCTGCAAAGTCCTTTTGTGACATTATCATAATTAAAATTGGTAATTATTTCATCATAAGACTATTTTTCCAATGTTTAAGATATACTTCTTGCCATTTCATGCGTGAATTATACAGCTTATCCATGTTTACCAAACAAAGAACTGCATTCTTAGTATATATTACTGAGTGTCCTACTCCTAAATTGAGACCCCAGACAAGGTCAAACCAATACCAGACAACTGGTACCAAACAAGGTTCAAAAGAATTGTTATATTTGTTCTACCTTAAAGTGATACTTCAGCAATAGGAACGTGTTTGACAAGGAAACACAATAAATAGTGATAACCGTTAAGTTATAACCAACTACGAGCATCTCTATTCCTTGTTCTTCACTACTCAAGCTGTGAAAGAGTGCTCTCATCCCTAAATGAAGCACATAGCAATGCCAAAAGAAGTGCACTAGTGCAGTAATATGACCAAACAGGAAATATGATCAGCCCTCTATCTACAAATATATATGCGGTTGATAAGACAAATTATGTTATTAGAAATCAAACTCAAATATCATTTCAACTTATAAAGCACTGCTGAAATTTTTGAAATATACAGGCTCGAGCAAATTTTAAATCGAATAGCTGATAAATATAAAAGCTTTAGCCCATGCTCAACATTTAAAGGTAAGTAAACAAAATAAGTTGCAAATAACCCAATTATAAATGAGTAAACTGGTGCTCTAACAATGCAAATTATTCACCTTGGCATAGTAGTCTCTCCAGACTCTTCTAGCAATTTGGTGTCCTCCTAAATCAAAAGCCTTGAACTTAATTTTACCTATACTCAACTCCTCTGATGTCGGGTATTGCGTAGGTTGATGCTGCACCAATCTCTGCATCAATGTTAACATGCACAATATAATACCAATAAAACATTTGAACTGGTTTCAATAACCTCCTAAATATAAAATACTTTTATTATCTCTATCACTAAAAATTAGCTCCACATGTGAACAAACATATCAATAATACTTCGCCCAGGTAGTCCTTTCTTTTTTTGGAATTATGGGGCCAACCTTGGGATAATAAATAGTTTAACATTTAAGACAAATAAAAGTTGGGATTTTTCCATCTATTAAGACCCATTTGATTCTAGAGGTTCTCTAAAAATAGAAAATTAATTCCTTAAATTTTGATAGTTAAGTCTCTAAGCAGACATACTTAATATAACAAATAAGCTTACGCAACTAGTTAGTGTTGCCTATATAGTCATGTGATTATAGTTTATTGTGATAAAAAGAAGAGGGGAAAAACCAACAAAAAAAAAAAAAGAGAGAGAGAAAGAGAAAAAGAACCTCATCTTTCAACATATGAAGCAAAGTGGTTTTGCCAGCATTATCAAGTCCTAAAAACAATATCTTCGCATCCTTCTGCCACAATCCTAGTGATGCTAACACTCCGTAGAACCAATCCAACACAAACATCGCCTCTTCCTATTTGATGATCAAAAACCACTCAGCTTCAGGCGTTCCAATTTGTTCGATCTCTTTTTTCTGAGGTTCAGTGGTGGAATGAGGTACAGGTATTTATATTGGGGGTGAAGTTTGACTGGTTAATGGTGGAACCTGTTGCACATAAGGAAAGGTGATAGGAACCGGAGATAAAGATGGTGACTCGAATTGGCCGGTTGCGTGTTTTGCTGACGTGGAGAGAGACTATTGGGTGCTGCGCGTCATCAGAAGAGTGCTACACATCATTGGGACCTCCACGTCATAACAAGTGTGCTACCCAATTTTTTTCCTTTCTTATTTTTTGACCGATGCGATGATCCTTATACTACAAGAAATTTAAAATACTGAAAAAATAAAGACCCGTTCGATAGACTGCCAAAGCTACAAATCGTACGAGTTAAATTGGAGCTGAATTCCTTAAAAAGGTTGATAAAAACTTGCCAGCCAAAGAGAATCTTAAAATCTGAATGAGAATCTTTTGTGGGAAAAATCCTACACTAGGAGCCCGTTTGGACATACAAAATTTTTGCTTTTTTCCAAAAAATTTTGAAAACAATATTTGGTTATACATTTCTTACCAATTTTTCCAATTTCACTTGAAAATGCATTTTCAAATTTGAAAAAGTGGCTCTTACCAGTTTTTTAATTGAAAATGTATTTTCACTAGTTTTAATTTTACAAATTTACCCTGTACTTTTAAAATTCATAAAATGATCCCATCAATTATTAACCTACAACTACCCACGTATTTTTTCTCGACTATCAGATGAAGCTATTGCATCGGATAATGAACCATTTTCTTGTGACGGCTACCATATTGCTAAACAATAGCATGTTTGATTGTTTATTTCAAGTAATATAACTAAATTGAGACGGTTTAGATATTTTTACAAGTTATGGGGTATAAATCATATTTTATGATTTTGCAAAAAAAACATCCAAATATGTTACAAAAATTATAACCAAACACAACTTCATCTTCAATTCAAATTTTAGTGAAATTTCAAATTTGAAAATTTATTTTGGAATTCATGGCCAAACGCCTACGAAGATGATGCATGAAAAGATTTATAGCCAGTTTGGCCAAGTTTTTTTGGGCCAACAGTGTTTTCTTTTTCCGCCAAAAGCGCTTTTCGCTAAAAATTGAGGTGTTTGGCCAAGATTTTGAAAGGAAAAAAAATGCTTTTGAGCAGAAGTAGAAGCAGTTTTTGAGAAGCAGAAAAAGTTGTTTCTATGCAAAAGAACTTTTCTGAGAAGTACTTTTGAGAAAAGTACACTTAGAAGCAGTTTTCAAAAGCTTGGCCAAACACTAATTACTGCTCAAAAGCACTTTTCAAATTAATTAGCCAAACACAAATTGTTTCTCACCAAAAGCACTTTTTAAAAAAGTACTTTTGAGAAAACACTTCTCAAAATAGTAAAAATAGCACGGGCTAGCCAACTTTCGGACTGGTCATTCAAAAATAGCCAGCGTTTGCAAAGATATTGTGTCACGATCCAAACTGATGGGCCGAGATGGGCACCCAGAACCTTACTCAACCGAGCACCAACATAACGTATCTTTTCATGTCATACTATCATAGATAACTGAACCGGAAGGCGGCCATGAGATAAGTAGAATACAACATGTGATACTAACTTATGTATAAGACATACGGCCTGTAAGATCAAAATAACCACTCGTATACTGAACATAGGCCGACAAGGTCATACAATCTTTTACGTACATGACATCTGTCTACAAGCCTCTAAGAATACATAATCTTCATAAAGGTCGGGACAGAGTCCCTCCATACCAAACAATACACATCTAAATTATACTAACCAAACAAGTAACTCTGAAGCAAATAGAGCGCACCAACATCNTACTCTGAAGCAAATGGAGCACACCAACATCTTCCGCTGAGCTGATAGTCTATTTGGAGGGCTCTTGACCTGTCTATCGGGACCTGCGGACATGAAACGCAGCGTCCCCAAGCAAAAGGGACGTCAGTATGAATAATGTACTGAGTATGTAAGGCACATAAATAAGTACATAACAGACATGGAAGAAATATAGAGTAAATGACTCAACCTGTAAGTCTGAAAAACTTTGTAAATCATAAAATACCTATAGTGTCATGCATATTAGTATGAATGCCATGTCGTGCATAGGTACATGTTTCATAACATCATCAGCCTCTGAGGACATCCCATCATATCATCTCGGCCACTGTGGGCAAATCATCAACATATACCAGCTGATCAGGTGGTGGTGCGTATATATGCCGTAACCTTTTTTCATATCCCATATACATATAATATACATATATATGCGTATATAACGTCATCTGGTCATGTGTCAATGTACATGAATGCAATGCATGAGAAGTACATCAATAAAATCTCTTAGAGTGTCATAAGACCATTATGCCTTTGAATAATATCATGAAGTAAACTTTTTCAACTTACATATTTTTCTGAGACCCATGAGCAGATGATAGAATAATTTGACACATGGGGAATCAAGAACATAAGCATCTCTAGTATTTCTATGAATAGAGTCATTTATGAAAATTGTGCATTTGCACGTTTCGTTTGTGTCGTATAGATCATGCCAAAAGAAAGAAAGGATAGCCTTAACATACCTGAGCCGATTTTCTTGACAATCTCTCTAACATACATCAATTGCAACAACAACGTAATGGTGGATCGAAGTAGGGGAGAATCCGTATGATATTCTTGAGAAAGATTGCACCGTACTCCCTTAAAATCGCAAAATCCCGTTGCTATTATGATAAATAGTTTCGTATGAATTTTTGTTGAAGAACACACGTTACATTTGTAACATTATCTTGCTGAAGCTAGCTTTGAATTGTAGAGATTGAAAATGAAGTAAAAAGCTCTCTTTAGTCTTTTGGGTATGGGACCCACTTGTTTGCTTAGTTGGCCAAAGACTCCTCCATGTTTTGCCACCTTATAATGTGATTTAAGAGTCACTTATTTGGGCTATAAAATCAGGATACCTTGGCTGCCACATTAGGAGATTAATCATCCTTATTCAATAAATTAATTAATTCCTTAATTAATTTGCTAATCTCCCATTAACCAATAATTAACCAATTATCCACATAATCAAGAATTATCTCACATTACATAAAATACTACTCACTTTTAATATACTTTATACACCTTACCATCATGGCCATATGGTACCTTGTATGGTACTTGTCCATAAATATCGGGTATTAACGCTCAGCCCGAATTTTATCCCAACATGCCAAACTTGGACGAAAATTCATTTTCTTTTACTTGCTTCCCCTCTCACTTTCATGAATTTACTCATCACTTGTTTGAAATAGCATAATCCTTATAATCTTCAAATAATCATTTCCTTGGACTGATGTCCATTACCATACAATAAATTCAACGTACAATACTACAGGGTACAACATCGTCGTAATTTAATACTGCGAAGCGTAATATCATCGTAATGTAATACTGCAAGGTGTAACACCATCGTAATATAATACTGCAGGACGTAACATCATCGTAATATAATACTGCAGGAGGTAACATCATCGTAATATAATACTGCGGGACGAAATATCGACGTAATATTACGGGGCGTAACATATTGAAAAATAGTCACTATTTTGCTACAACACGGAAAGTTCCAGCATAATATACTGGAGATCGGTGCACCTGTGTATGAACTTCCAACATATTATGCTGGAACTCCAACACGCGGAAAGTTCCAGTATAATATACTGGAACTCTAGTATATTATACTGGAGTTCCGGTATAGTTATGCTGGAACTCCAACACGCGGAAAGTTCCAGTATAATATACTGGAACTCTAGTATATTATACTGGAGTTCCGGTATAGTTATGCTGGAACTCCAATATATATATTATACTGGATTCCAGTGTATTGTATTGGAGTATTTTTTCGGATTTTGAACAATGTTTTAGTTCAGATTTATCTTTACATGAAAAGTGGCTAAAGTTCGATTACTTTTGAAATTGTGGCTATTTTTGAATGACTACTTGTAAATCTGGCTATTTTTGAATTTCTCCCCTCAAAATAAGCTGATTTTAGAAGCTTGGCCAAACATGCTATTATACTCTCTAGCAATCGACCTGGAAATTGGATTTTTAATGCATTTGTTCTGGAGAGAGTATTTTTCGTATAAACTTTCTTAATAAAAAGTATTTGCCTAATAAAAACATTTAATGTATTTATTAGTGGTTAGCTGTGTATAAAAACAAGTGACATATTATTACGACACATTATAGATAACAAGGTATGAGAAAAGTGTAATACTTTTATCACTGTGTGTTGATTATAAATTTTAAACTTTTATTACGGCTAATTAAGGGTCTAATGAATGATTAAAATATCTCGAGGTGTATATTGATACACACGAGCGTGACCAGGTAATTAATTGAAATATATATATGGTATAACTGGATGAGAGTCAGAGGCGGATCTAGAATTTTCGGAGGATAGATGCATCATTACTTTTTTAAAAAAAATTAAACAAAAAAGTTGGTGGGGGAATTGATCTACTGGCCTTAGGCTATTGGAAATAAGAGATCAAAACTAGTGCACCATTTCATCTCTTTTGATCATGGGTTCCATCATATAATATATATATGCCAAATTATGTACATCATATCTATAATTTACCCGAGGATTACGGATTCACGTGAACAAGGGTAGAATGGTGGAAGTGGTTAAAGATGATGAAAGAAGGGTAGAAATGGTCAAAGATGATTGTTTATCCTAAAAAACGGATAACAATTGAATTTATACGTGGTTTTAAGGATACATGATATAACTTGGTACAAATTAAGAGAATATATTAATATTGAAATTGGCGATAAAAGAATAAATGCAAACCACACGAATCGAATAGCATTGACCCTCGAGTTCAGTCACCCTTGAACCAAAGATGTTTCAACTGATATATGAATAGAGTAACAAGATAATAAAAGCTAGAAAATGGCAGTATATTGCTTTGTGTTGCGTAAAAATGATGTGCTTTACAAATAATCAGACCCCTTTTATATAGTAGGGGAGTCCTACTTTTGATACAGTTCTATATGA